CCCCTTTTATCCAAATCCATTTTGGAAGATTTCGTTTTTGAAATTATGACAAAGAGCACTGCCCAGAGGTTACCCTTAGGTTTTTGACCCGGAGAATTTGGCCAATATTTACGCACTCCATGGTGTTGTTAAGTATTCAGAACAATTTCACACGAAAGATGTGGTCCGTTTTACAGTTAAATATAATCCAATGGTCATCCAAACTGCTAGACTTCTTCCCGGTCCTTAACAGCCTTCTGATGCGAAATTCCGTGTCGATGGCCTATAGAGCAACTACAAAATTACCAAAAATTTAACTTTTTTTTAATCCATCTGAACCTCTAAATATATATCTTAAGAACAATAGGTTTTTATTCTGACCCTAACCAAAAAATGCAAAATTGCATAAGGATCGGAGGATAATTGCGACATGCATATAATACCCCTGAACGTAGTGTTGGGGGGTGTAAAAATTTAGAAAATTTACAATTTAAAATTGTAAGTCAAATTGAAACCAGTAAAGAAAGTCCTAAAGTCGGGCGGGGCCGATTTTATGATACCCTACACCACTTTGCTAGTTTAGTTGAGCTCCACTTAATAATTAAAAGTTTTTATGGGAGAATTCAATCATACACGCTATGATTATAATTATAATTTAAAATTCAAAGGACTAAATATGCCGAAGCATTTGTATCTTTTAAATTCGGACTTGTATTGCCCATTTGGTGCGAAATTAATTTGAAATCGGATAAAAATATATATGGGAACTATATCCAAATCTGAACCGATCTCGATAAAATTTGGCGAAGATATTTCTGAGCTGTATCTGATATATTTTCGTGAATATCGTTGTTACGGAGTGCATATTACGTCTGTGGGTAACAAATACAATAAATCGGATGAAAAGTATATATGGGAGCTATAACTATATCTGAACCGATCTTCACCAAATTTGGCATACTACCTTCTAGACTAACTTCGGTCGTATGTGCCAAATTCCACCCCATTTGGACAAATATTAGACGTTTGGTGCACAATAAATGGTAATTCGCACGAAGTTATTTATGGGATCTATATCCAAATCTGAACCGATCTCGATAAAATTTGGCAAAGGTATTTCTGAGCTGCACTTCATATATTTCCACAAATATTGTTGTTACAGAGTGCATATTACGGCTGGGGAAGACAAAAATAACAAATCGGATGAACAATATATATGGGAGCTACAGCTATGTCTTAACCGATTTCGATCAAATTTGGCATACATATTTTCAGGCCTAATTTGGTTGTATGTGCAAAATTCCATACTATTCGGGCTGATATTACACGTTTGGTGCACAAAAAAAAGCAAATCGGTAGAAGATATATATGGGAGCTATATCTAAATTTTTACCGATTATCTCCAATTTCAATAGGGTTCGTCCTTGGGCCAAACAAATGTTGTTTGTAAAATTTCATCTCAATCGGATAATAAATGCGACCTGCATTTTGTTCACAAGAATACATGGACAGACGGACGGACGGACAGACGGACTGACATGCATAAATCAACTCAGAAAGTGATTCTATGCAGATCATCAAAAGGAACTATGGGTCTATCTCGTTTCCTTTTGCCTGTTACAAACAAATGCACAAAGACATAATACCCTGACCACCTTGTGATGTAGGGATAAAAATTGCATGCGATAAAAAATATGACAAAATTTGAAAACATGTAAAAAAGCAGTAAGTTCGGCCGGGCCGAACTTTGAATACCCTCCACCATTTGGAACGAATTAGAAAAATTTCAAAAAAATTAAATCCAATAAAAATTCTTTTAAAATCTTTAAAATATCTAATACAGGAAGGTGCCGATATATAGGGGGATATACGATATTGTGGACCTATAAAGACAAATCTATGTCTGCGTGTAAAGTACTCACAAGGAACACCTTCTATGGATTTTCAGATAATTCCATTGGAAAAAGTGGCAAAAACCATCAAAATACCGAATATCGGGGGGTACCGTTATATGGGGGCTATACGATATTGTGAACCTATATAGATAATTCTCTGCCGAGGTATAAAGTACCCACAAGGAACTCCTTATGTGTATTTTCAGACAATTCCGTTGAAAAATGTGGGTAAAATCATCAAAATACCGAATATCGGGGGGTACCGTTATATGGGGGATGTACGATATCGTGGACCTGTATAGAAAATTCTCTCTCAGGGGGTAAATTACTCGCAAGGAACTACTTGTGTGGATTTTAAGACAATTCCATTGAAAAATATGGCTAAAATCATCAAAATGCCGAATACCGGGGGGTACCGTTATATGGAGGCTATACGATATTGTGGACCTATATAGATAATTCTCTGCCGAGGTATAAAGTACCCACAAGGAACTACTTGTGTGGATTTTCAGACAATTCCATTGAAAAATGTGGCTAACATCATCAAAATACCGAATATCGGGGGTACTGTTATATGGGGGCTATACGATATCGTGGACCGATATAGCTTATCTTCGAACTTGACCTGCCTGCAGACAAAAGAGAGATCTGTGCAAAGTTTTAGCTTCCTATCTTAATTCGTTTAGACTGTAGCGTTATTACAACAGACGGACAGGACTTAGAATTTTACGCTGATCAAGAATATATATACTTTGTTGGGTCTAAAATGATTATTTCGATGAGTAACAAACGGAATGACGGACTTAATATACCCTCCATACCTTTTTTGGTGGAGGGTATAAAAAACCAGTAAAGAAAGTCTTAAAGTCGGGCGGGCCGACTTTATGATACCCTACACCACTTTGCTAATTTAGTAGAGCTCCACATAACAATTAAAAGTCTTTATGGGAGAATTCAATCATACACACCATGATTATAATTATTCGGACTTGTATTGCCCATTTGGTGAAAAATTAATTTGAAATCATATAAAGATATATATGGGAGCTATATCCAAATATGAACCGATCTCAATAAAATTGGGCAAAGATATTTCTGAGCTGTTTTTGATATATGTCCCTGAATATCGTTGTTACGGATTGCATATTACGGTTGTGGGTAACAAATATAACAAATCGGATGAACAGTATATATGGAAGCTATAGCTATATCTGAACAAATTTGACATACTAGCTGTTCAAAAGAACATATTTTACTAACACATTTTTAATTTTGTTTTTATTATTATTTATTCTATGTCAGCATATAACTGACCTATATAATTATTGTTTGCCTTATGCAGGCCAATAGCCTAAATAAAGAAACACCTCGATTGGTTTCACATTGCATGGGTTATTGGCTGAAGTAATTTATTGCTTAGTTAACTTTAAATGCTAGTTTTAATGAATTCAAAAATGTATAAATAGAAAGCAAAAATAAATTTTCTTGGTAGATTACAAGAAATTGTAAACATACCAAGGTTACACAATTCAAGTGTTGTGTATATCTGCTTTAATTAATATTAATAAACATTTTTGGTGACCCCGACGTGATCCTGACAAGGATTACTTGATTCACTCATAAATTTCGAATTTCCCCCCACCAGTGGTAAGGAATTTGAAATATTTATTTGTGAAAGGAGCTAGTTACGTACAACTAGTAGCACCATCTAAGAGCCAGAAACATCTGGAGAAGAAGCCAGTACCTACATCAAGAATCTGAATCAACTGATAGCTAATCACCGTAAGGCGGATACAGTATGGATCTAGCTACAGTAATCGAGCAACAACAAGCAGCAATTGCCGAGTTGAGGAAGGCAATTGCGAACGTAAAAAAGGCTCCATTGGAAAGAAGAACGGTGGAGTTCTACAGCAAAAAGCTCAAGGAAATGGAAGCACTCTGGGCAGAGATCGATCGCAATGAAAACAAAATTCGTGCAGATCCTGCGGCAGAGTCACATCTCCATATCACCAATAACGAATACCAAGTCATTGGTGAAGAGTACAGAGCTGCAATCGACAACATCGAGGCAGACATCAAAAGGGGCAAAGAACAAATGCCTCAGAAACCGCTTCCCGCAACAAGGGAGGGGGTGCAAAAACAATCAGGCCAGTTTACTGCAACCAGCAGCGTGACTGCATTAGTGAGACGTCAGAGGGCTCTAATGCAGTCCATACAAACGTTAATAAGGGGCAATTCAGGCCAAGCTGCTCCCTGTCAGACAGTGACTGCAATTGAAAAACTGTGGACACATGTGGAAGATATCCACTTCAAAATGTTCGAGGACTTTGATGACCCAACGTTGGTGGGGTACGATGCATCAGCCTACGTTCTCTTAGAGGAAGAGACGTTAAAGTTCAAAGAAAAAATATCGACGCTAACACAGGTCGATCATTCGTCGTCTCAGCAGAGATCAGGCGGAAACTTGGCAAATCAAGTTAATCTGCCAAAAATTACAATCCCTCAATTTAATGGGGATTATTCGAAGTGGCAGACGTTTGCTGACATTTTTGGGAAAATGATCAACGAGCAAGCCTTGCCACAAGTGCAAAAAATGTGGTATCTCAAGGCCAACGTGACTGGGGAAGCCGAGAAACTCATAAGGCACCTCGAGTTGACCGAGGCGAATTATGACATTGCCTGGAAGACACTCCAAGACAGGTACAATAACAAGAGAGCTCAAGTGTCAACTATACTTGAGAGAATGCTAAACCTGCCCAACATGTCTGGCGATAGCAGATCAGTGAAGGACTTTCATGATAGTCTTCATGAATCGTTATTGGCATTGGAGGGTCTTGGAGTAAGGCCAAGGGAATGGGATCCACTCTTAATCCACATCCTAACAAAGAGGATGGACAAGACTACTCATGTGTTGTATGAGCAGTCGATTGTAGATTCGAAAGAACTCCAAACGATGAATCATTAGAAGCTGTCAATGGGATTCAGAAGAGCAAACCGTCAGCAACGACTGCTTCCACCACGATCCGTAGATGTCACATGTGCAAAGGTGACCACCCCCTATATTACTGCAAACAGTTCTTGGCAATGACAGTGCCCGAAAGACAGAAATGGGTTGCTAGACACAAGATGTGTCTAAATTGCTTCAAGGATGACCATCAGGCAAAAACGTGTACAAGTGGGAAGTGCAGGAAGTGTCAACAAAAACACAATACACTTTTGCATTTTTCAACGAGGCCACAAGTAGAGAACAAGTCAGCAGATTTGTCGGTTCAACAGCCGCCAACAGTAGCATCGGCGAATAGATCCCAATCATACGTACTTCTTGCAACCGCACGTGTTGCGATCAAGGCAAATAATGGAAGAAGCTATGAGTTTAAGGCGATTCTGGATTCCGGTTCACAAATTAATCTGGTGTCAGAGCGACTAGTGCAGAGGTTGGGTATCGAACCCATTCAAACATCTCTCTGTATCGAAGGTGTTGGAGGTAGATCAAGAACCGCAAACCACAGGGTCAACGTGGAGCTTAAGTCACTCACCAGCAAATTCAGAACACGCCTAGAAGCCTTTGTGTTACCAAATATAGTGCCACCCCAACCAAGCACTGAGATCGACATCACATCATGGCCTATTCCAGAAAACATAAAACTAGCAGATCCCTATTTTTATCAAACGACCAGGATTGACGTACTACTTGGAGCAGAGTTCTACTTCAACCTGATTCTCTCACAAGAACTTCGAATGTCCAAAGAGCTTCCTATATTGAAGAACTCAAAACTAGGATGGATTGCTAGTGGAAGAGTTCAGGCTGAATCAGAAACTGTGACATGCGCCGTTTTCGGAGAAGATGAACATGCTTTAGAAGATTTATTAAAGATGTTCTGGGAACAAGACGATGTTTGTGAAGACCAGAACTTGACAATAGCAGAGGAACAGTGTGAAAATCACTTCAACCAAAATACAACAGTGAATGAGAATGGTCGGTTTGTGGTGCGATTACCGTTTGCAGACGGCCCTGAGAAAATTTCTGAATCCTTGAATATTGCAGCATCAAGATTCTTTGCGTTGGAACGTCGCTTATCTAAGGATGCAAGTCTTCACGAGCAGTATGCTAAATTTATGAAGGAGTATGAGGATCTGGGACATATGACGAAAATACAATCAAGAGAGGTGCGTGGTAATCATTACTATATCCCGCATCATTGTGTCCTACGCCCAAATAGCAGCACAACAAAACTGAGGGTTGTGTTCGATGCGTCTTGCAAGTCATCATCTGGATGGTCACTCAATGATATTTTGCATTCAGGTCCCAGGGTTCAAGGAGATCTGTTTGGAATGCTGTTGCGGTTTAGACTGCCGAGATTTGTGTTTACAACAGACATTGAAAAGATGTACAGACAAGTGCTAGTCGACAAAAGAGATCGCAAATATCAACTAATCGTATGGAGAAACACTCCAGACAAGGAACTCGAACATTACATGTTGAATACGTTAACATATGGTACGACGTGTGCCCCATATCTTGCTACAAGATGTCTGAAAAAGCTAGCAGATACGAACATACAAAGATATCCATTGGGGGCGATGGTATTGCAAAAGAATTTTTACGTTGACGATTGCATGTGCGGGTCTGACAGTTTAACAACGGCAATTGAGATGCAGAAACAAGTTAATATGTTACTACTGGAAGCTGGATTTAGACTACGAAAATGGTGTGCTAACCACTTAAAACTGCTGCATGGAATTCCTCCAGAAGATAGAGAAGTAGATCTCAATTTTGACAAATCATCAACCAAGGTTTTGGGATTAACATGGATTCCTCAAGCAGACCGATTTTGTTTGAAGAGTGATGTGAACGAATGCACCAAGGTCACCAAGCGGAAGGTCACATCTGATTTGGCAAGATTGTTTGACCCCTTAGGAATTGCGGGTCCTGTGGTGTCAGCAGCTAAGATCTTTATTCAGCAACTGTGGAAGAATAAACTTGGCTGGGACGAGGAACTGCCAGCAGAAAGGGCAGCATATTGGCTATCGTTCCGAGAAGGTCTGAAGATGTTAAATGATTTCAGGTTACCCAGACACATGTTTGATGGAGAGAAACCAACAAAAATTGAGATACATACTTTCGTGGACGCGTCAGAAAAGGCATATGGTGCTGTGGTGTATCTTCGAGCTATGCTGCCAGACGGCAGGCATATAGTCAGACTTCTTTGTTCAAAATCAAAAATAGCACCAATAAAGGAGATCACGCTGCCACGGTTAGAGCTTTGTGCCGCTGAATTGGGAACAAAACTTACTGCTAAGGTCAAAGCCGAATTGGGTTACGAAGATCTAAGGACTATTTATTGGTCAGACTCAGAGATTACATTGTACTGGATCAATTCAGAACCATCAGCTCTAAAGACGTTCGTTGCCAACAAAGTAAAAAATATACAAGGCAGATCGATAAACACTCAATGGCGACATGTGGGGACGAAGGATAATCCTGCCGATTATATATCCAGAGGTATGAAACCAGATCGTCTGTCGGGATGTCTGATGTGGTTTTATGGACCCACGTATCTACATGGAAATGAATCTCTCTGGCCGGGGCCCTTCTCAAAGAATAGAGAAAATCAATCCGATCTTGAATTCAAGACAAAATCTACAGTATCAGCAATTGCCTCACAGAGTGGGTTACAGGATATGATCTATGGAATCAACCACAAGGGTTCATTTAGACGATTACAACGTATTGTCGGTTATGTCCTGCGATTTTCAGAAAGGATAAAGGGACGCAAGCATGGAAGTTCGACAGATGTATTGACACCTATGGAGTTGAATCAGGCGATGCAACTAATAGTCAAGACCGTACAGGTGGCAGATTTTGCGAAAGAAATTCAGCAATTGAGGAAACATGGAGCATTGGACAAATCAAGCTCCATACATAGTTTAACTCCGTTTCTTGATGACAGAGGAATACTTAGAGTCGGTGGCAGGTTGGAAGAGGCAACCTTAGCATACGACACAAAACACCCGATGTTGTTACCATACAACGATCCAATTGTGAAACTCATTCTCAGCATGATCCATTTAGAGAATAGCCACTGTGGCTCACAACTATTACTGGCAACATCAAGACAAAAATATTGGATAATCAAGGGGAAGGCTATGGCTCGCAACATTGTGCAAAATTGCGTAAGGTGCACCCGGGCGAAGCCAAAGTTATACAACCAAATCATGGGAAATCTCCCACCGAGCAGAGTCACACCAGCAAGGCCGTTTATTGTCTCCGGCGTTGACTATTGCGGACCGTTATGGGTCCACTACAAAATACGAGGCAAGAGACCACACAAGGTTTACATCGCTGTCTTTGTCTGCTTCGCAACAAAGGCTGTACATTTGGAAGTAGTTACAGACCTAACAACGGAAGCATTCATTGGAGCATTGAAGAGATTTATCTCTCGGCGAGGAAAATGTCAAACCCTATATTCAGACAACGCGACTAACTTTGTAGGTGCTAAAAATCAGCTCGATGAATTCAATAAGGCTGTCTTTGGGGAGAAAGGCAAAGAAATAATAGCGGAGACGTGCTCAAGAGAAGGGATCGATTTCCAGTTTATTCCCCCAAGAGCACCACATTTTGGTGGCTTATGGGAAGCCGCGGTGAAGTCAGCCAAGCAACTGTTGCTTCGCACCACTAATAGTGCATCATTAACCCACGAAGAGTTGGAAACAGTTGTTATTGAAATAGAAGCAATCCTGAATTCCCGACCGTTGACTCCTATTTCTGACGATCCAAATGATCTAGCTGCATTAACACCTGGTCATTTTCTTGTGGGAGAACCGTTAACGGCACAGGTTGACCCATCAGCGAACCAATCGTCAACATCATTGACAAGCAGATGGAAGGTCGTATCTCAAATTAGGCATGAGTTTTGGAAACGTTGGTCCACGGAGTACTTAAATACTCTGCAAGAAAGAAGGAAATGGAGTACACCATCTCCAAACGTGGAACCTGGTCAATTGGTCATTATTAAGGAAGATAACATGCCTGTAATGCAGTGGCCGCTAGGCAGAATAACCCGAACATATAAGGGCAACGATGGAGCCGTTCGTGTAGTCGACGTAAAGACACAAAACGGCGAAATTAAAAGAGCTATAACCAGATTAGCTCCTTTATGGAAAAAGGAAAAGGAACCTCTTCCGCCTATAGAGACCAAGAGTAGGAGTGAAGAGCCATCTCCAAAGCGATTGAAGACGTCAAGCAGCATGCTAGTATCGATGATGCTTGTGGCTTTACTATTTTTACCTCTATGCTTGTGTCATTCGTTCAACATACACAAGTTTGAGAATAAGCCCGGCATCTATTTTGAAGGAATTGGAATCACAAAAGTAGTAACAGCAGAGTGGAAACTGATCACTTATTATGATCTTTCCCCATTTTGGGCAGATATGGATGGCTTTTCTACCGGGATAGGAACCCTTCAGAAGTTGTGTAAGATAGCAGTTGAGAACAGAAGCTGTGAGATACTTTCAGAAAATCTTATTCAAGTACAAAAGCAGTTGGAATCAAATACACTGAACATATTCCCCAGGCGCATCAGGAGAGGAGCTCTAAACATAGTCGGGAACCTCGCACACTCGTTATTTGGTGTCTTGGATTCGGAATATGCGGAGCAAATGACTGTGACAATTGAGAAGGCAAATGAAGACAAGCAACATTTGTTGGATCTTCTAAAAAATCAGACATCTATTATTGATTCAACAATCAACATAATTAGAAAGGACGAAGATACGAGCCAAAGGAACTTCGGCAACATGCAAGTGGAGATGAACCTTTTGGCAAATAAGGTGAAGAAAGAAGAAGATGTTGTAAAGACAACACAATCAATTATGTTTCTCACTTCACAGCTCATGCTACTTTCATCAAGGTTGAAACATATAGAAGATAACTTAATCGACGTTTTAACGGATGCTCATCATGGTCGGATAAGTCCGTTGCTACTTACGCCACATCAATTGCTACAAGAGCTCCAAACCATCAAGGCTCACATTCCTCCATCTCGTGCTCTACCCGTTCGCGAAGATAATGTTTCGGATTTCTTCAAATTAATGAAGAGTAAGGGAAGGGTTATTAAGAACCATATCATATTCGAGATTCGCCTTCCATTAGTGGATCTCCAGCAGTATGATTTATTCAAAATGATCCCCGTACCTATGCTACGATCCGGTCGATTTATTTCAATAGCTTTGAAATCAACATTATTGGCAGCTAACGTCCATCGGGATGAGTTCATATCGCTAACCGCAGAAGAAATGAACAGCTGCATACATACCACAAATGACGTTTTTATTTGCGACAACCAAGCGAAATTTAGCAAAGGCGATCGATCACATTTATGCGAGGTGATTTTCTTATTGAACAAATCGTCAGAAGAGTGCGACTTGCAATCAACCATGCACCACCAAACTTGGAGACAAATGGAACAAAAGAATAAATGGATGTTTACTCTAGCCAATTTAACAGAATTGTCCTTTGTTTGTGGTACAAAAATGACACACCTGGAGGTGCAAGGAGCTGGAACTTTAGAAATTGGGCCAGGCTGCATTTTCAAAGACAACACATTTACAATATACGGTCACTACGAAAACAAAACAACAGTGCACACATCATATCTGAGACTTAAGCCACTGGATTCCATAATCTCAAGCAGTAAGCTTGTCTTGCTCAACAAAACATTAAACAGCACCTATGAAACACATGCTGCTGAACTCGTCACCTTACACCAACAGCTAAAAACTATTGAAATCGGACGCCTTCCACAATTAATGAAATCGACGGCCATACACCATCATACCATCAGCTATCTAGCTCTTTGCATTGGAATTGGAGTAGCCATATACGTCATTGTCAAGTTTCGGCACCACAGAACTTCCAACAATAACATGAACCCAACACCTACCCCTCGGCAGTCAGTCTCATCATCATACGTCATTGACCAGACAGTTTCTTGAACGTTCCTCGTTCAACGTGGGGGAGAATGTTCAAAAGAACATATTTTACTAACACATTTTTAATTTTGTTTTTATTATTATTTATTCTATGTCAGCATATAACTGACCTATATAATTATTGTTTGCCTTATGCAGGCCAATAGCCTAAATAAAGAAACACCTCGATTGGTTTCACATTGCATGGGTTATTGGCTGAAGTAATTTATTGCTTAGTTAACTTTAAATGCTAGTTTTAATGAATTCAAAAATGTATAAATAGAAAGCAAAAATAAATTTTCTTGGTAGATTACAAGAAATTGTAAACATACCAAGGTTACACAATTCAAGTGTTGTGTATATCTGCTTTAATTAATATTAATAAACACTAGCTTCTAGACTCGATTCGGTCGAAAGTGCCAAATTTCATCCCATTTGGGCAAATATTAGACGTTTGGTGCGCAATTAAAGGTAAATCGGACGAAGTTATATATGGGAACTATATCCAAATTTGAACCGATCTCGATAAAATTTGGCAAATGTATTTCTGAGCTGTATTTGATACATTTCCCCAATTATTGTTGTTGCAGAGTGCATATTACGGCTGCGGAGGACAAAAATAACAAATCGTATGAACAATATATATGGGAGCTATAGCTATATCTGAACCGATTTCGATCAAATTTGGCATTCTTATTTTCAGGTCCAATCTGATCGTACCTGCAAAATTCCATACTATTCGGACTGATATTACACGTTTGGTGCACAATAAATGGCAAATCGGACGAAGATATATATGGGAGCTATATCTAAATTTTTACCGATTATCTCCAATTTCAATAGGGTTCGTCCTTGGGCCGAACAAATGATCTGTGCAAAATTTCATCTGGATCGGACAATAAATGCGACCTGTACTTTGTTTACAAAAATACATGGACAGACGGACGGACGGACGGACGGACAGACGGACGGACGGACATGCATAAATCGACTCAGAATGTGATTCTATGCAGATCATCAAAAGGAACTATGGGTCTATCTCGTTTCCTTTTGCCTGTTACAAACAAATGCACAAAGACATAATACCCTGACCACCTTGTGGTGTAGGGTATAATGAAACAAAAGATATTCACTTTTTATACCCTACACCACAAGGTGGTCAGGTTATTATGTCTTTGTTCATTTGTTTGTAACAGGTAAAAGGGAACGAGATAGACCTATAGTTCCTTTTGATGATCTGCATAGGATCACATTCTGAGTCGATTTTTGCATGTCCGTCCGTCTGTCCGTCCGTCCGTCTGTCCATGTATTATTGTAAACAAAGAACAGTTCGCATTTATGACCCGATCTAGATGAAATTTTGCACAAATCATTTGTTTGGCCTAAGGACGAACCCTATTGAAACTGGAGATAATCGGTAAGAAATTAGATATAGCTCCCATATATCTTCGTCCGATTTGCTTTTTATTGTGCACCAAACGTGTAATATCAGGCCGAATAGTATGGAATTTTGCACATACAACCAAATTAGGCCTGAAAATCATAAGTATGTCAAATTTGATCGAAATCGGTTCAGATATAGCTATAGCTCCCATATATATTGTTCATCCGATTTCTTATTTTAGTCCTCCGCAGCCGTAATATGCACTCTGTAACAACAATATTTGGGGAAGTATATCAAATACAGCTCCGAAATACATTTGCTAAATTTTGTCGAGATCGGTTCAGATTTGGATATAGCTCCCATATATAACTTCGTCCGATTTACCATTTATTGTGCACCAAACGTCTAATATTTGCCCAAATGAGATTGAATTTGGCACATACGACCGAATTGAGTCTAGAAGGTAGTATGCCAAATTTGGTGAAGATCGGTTCAGATATAGCTATAGCTCCCATATATACTTTTCATCCGATTTGTCATATTTGTTACCCACAGCCGTAATATGCACTCCGTAACAACGATATTCAGGGAAATATATCAAATATAGCTCAGAAATATCTTTGCCAAATTTTTCGAGATCGGTTCCGATTTGGATATAGCTCCCATATATATTTTTATCCGATTTCAAATTAATTGTGCACCAAATGGGCAATACAAGTCCGAATTTAAAAGACACAAATGCTTCGGCATATTTAGTCCTTTGAAGTTTAAATCATAATTTTAATCATAGCGTGTATGATTGAATTCCCCATAAAAACTTTTAATTGTTATGCGCAGCTCTACTAAATTAGCAAAGTGGTGTAGGGTATCATAAAGTCGGCCCCGCCCGAATTTAAGACTTTCTTTACTGGTTTAATTTTATTGAATGAAAGCAAAATATGTCGGAAGTAGCATCAAATTTTTTAATAAGTTTAGATTTGTTCGAATTGGTCACCCTTGCCGCGAATTATGGCCTTCAAACGGCCAATGAAACCGTCATATGCTGCCCGAATGTTGCTCTGCGCAATTTTGGGCCATTCCCGATCGACACTTTGGTATTTTTTAGTGTCAACCTTGCTTTCCAAAATACACCAGACACAATAGCCCTACGGATTGGTATCCGGTGGCCATTGTGCGCTGAAAATGAAGCGAGGAACCTCCTTTTTGTAACCATTCTTTGGTGGCTCGTGCTGAGTGCGATGGTGTTGAGTCCTGTTAGAATGTCCAAGGTCTGCGGCCAAAATGTTTGCGTGCCCAAGGCTTTAATACACCTTCCAGAATATTTTCACGATAATATTCGGCATTTATTCTGATGCCACGGTCTATTAATACGAGCTGAGAGCGTCGATCGGCTGTTATGGCGGCCCACACCACCACCATGGCCGGCGCTTGGATCTGGTGGCCAACCGAAGGTGCACATTTTCAGCTGACCTCTTTGGCAAGTAAACACATCATTTTGTTTGTTCATAAACTGCTGGACAACGAATGTTTTCTCATCGTAGAAAGTCATCATCACCACTTTCGGCCAAGTGAAGCAACTCTTTAGCCCTTCGGAGTCTTTTTTCTTTCTGTTGCGGTGTAAGTTCTTGCACTTTCTTGAATTTCAATGGTTTTATCCCGAGCTCATTTTTTTATATTTTCCGAATGGTATATTGCGATATGTTCAGCTCACGAGCCATTTTTCGGCCACTGCGACGTGGGTTCGATCAAGTCGCATTTTTACTTTTCAAACCATTTCTGCTGATGTTGTTCCGTCCACGTGAAGCTGAAATCTAGAAATTTTGTATTAAGGTACCTGTTGGTGCTAGGTTTATGATAAAGAGGTGGTACAATTTAATATTGGGTGAACATATAGAGTTTGAAATCTGAATTTTTGAAATGCGTCTTATATACGAAAAGTTCTAAATGATACCAAATTTGGTATAAGGTAAAGGAATAGGACTGGGATCCTCTAATTTGATGTAGACCTCTCTGTTGGTATCTGCAATTGAGACATGGAGGTGGTTTTGGAAATGTGTACTATAATTTACAAAAAAACCTAAACAGTACTCAATTTGGTATTGGGTGGATGGGTAGAGATAAAAGTCTAAAATTACATATAGATGTCGTTCTGGTATATGTGGTTAAGATGTGGAGGTGGTCTTGGGAAAATTTACTATAATTGTTCGAAATGTACTAAGTTGTGCTAAATTGGGGGTTGGGTGAAGCGATAGATCCGAAATCGCGAAATTTGACATTGGGGTCTTTATTGAAATGTATTCTATAATTGTACGAAAAATACTAAATTTTCCTAAATTAGGTACTGAGTCATGATCCCAATAGAGATAATCCCCATTGGAATTATAGAGATTTTTTTTGGTCATAACTCCCATAATGGAATAGGGATTATGTCCACAAAAAAATTATAAAATAAAATAAAATCGGTCGTAATCCCAGAAAATAGCGAAACCCCCATAACGATTTCGGACATAAACCCCATTGTGTGATAGGTATATTTACCATGATGACTGCAATGTAATTTTATCATGTCGAAATGCCCGGTTACGCGGTCGATTCGAAATTTCGAATACATAATCCGTGTTCTATCCGGTTCATTTAAAAGCTTATGATATATACCTATCTAACAAATTGTACCAGAAGGAATGGTTCGATTGCTAACATCCTTATAACATACCTTGTGCTGGACCGATATTTTCCATCCTCAT